GAATAAGGATGCTGCATCTTCTTCTAGTTTGTCTTACAATTTCCCTTGTCTAGTGAGTAATTTGTTAATCTATTGTTCCTCCTACAAATTTAAACAATATGCTACTTCTTGAACGTTTGGGCTTTGTATTCAGGGAGACAGTGTAATTTTATTTAGGTGGTGCTTTGGCTAGTATGATCATGCATATTCAAGTGTTACTATTATATCTTGATTGTGTATACAACACAGCCCTTCTACTGTTTTTATTTTTAATTATCCATGTCATCTGTTATAAGCAGAAAGACTGGGCAACTTTATTCTGCTGAATTCATCTGTTGTATGGATTGAGGGGTACCTTTTTTGTTGTTCATACATTTTTTGTTGTTCATAATAAAGGATATCAGAGATTTCTGGTTTTACTAGATCTTGAATTTCATCACTGAAGATACATTATATATTAGCCCACGATTTTTTTTACTGAACGTATCAATTTGTAACAGCTCGTAGAACAATTTGGCATTGATCCAAATAATGCATTCGCTTTCTGGGACTGGGTAGGAGGTCGATTTAGTGGTAAGTCTTTTTAAGAGTATCATGGCAGATGCACACAGATTTTGCTATCAAATTTTGTTTTTCTAAAAAATATATATTAAATGATTACTTAACTAAAAATAAGGGAATTTATCAAATATATTTATTGTAATCCTTGTTTTGCAGTCTGCAGTGCAGTTGGAGTATTGCCTCTTTCTCTGCAATATGGTTTTTCCATTGTTGAGAAGTAAGTAATTTGCAGCTACCTTTGCACATTGATCCTTCATTTTATTTTACTATCTGATGCACCCTTGATGTTGACCACATACATCTAAACGTTATAGGTTTTTTAATTGTATACTCTGCCCATGATCTATCGACAGGTCAAGTATAAACCATATCTGCTGATTAGTTGTATCCATAAGATTGGTCTTTTTTATTTCATAATCATTACCTCGTGTATATGGTGAAAAGAAAGACTGGAAACAAATTGCCACCTTTTGCCCCTGGCCCTTAGTGATGGCAGGCTGCACTTCTTCTATTGCATAGTTTGGTGTCTCCATCTCTTAGCTTAAATATTAGGATGTTGCTTGCCAACTTTATTGGTTTGGCGGATTAACTTTCTATATCAAGAGAACAATATATATATGAAGGGTTTTGTTCTTCCAAAGAATTGGTTGTCATAGGGTAGCAGCTTCCTTAATTGTCATGTTGCATGTTAGAGGCGTTTCATTTTGCTACCCTTTTTTCTTTTACTTCTGCTTGTACTGCTTTAATAATTTTTTCTGACATGTTCTCTACGTGTTAAGATTTCTGAAGGGAGCTTCAAGTGTTGATCAGCATTTCCTCTCAGCACCATTTGAGAAAAATATACCTGTATGTCCCTGCTCATAGAAACTTATGTTTATGTTCTCTCTTATACTTAATTGTTCTGTTCTCTTATGCGTAGTGCTGTGATATTTCTGTAATGTTCAGTTGGTTACCCTGTGATGTAATTAGATCGGTGAGCGGCGCGTTCTGCCTTAGAGAGTTCAGAAGTCCAAACTGAGGGGCTAAGTGAAAACACACACTTCACAAACAATAAATATTTTGTCAGATTGTTTGATGCAAATGTACGTGTGTGCTTATATTGATGTATAGCCTGTCTACTTGTGTTTTCTCCATATCTTAAGACTGGTAGCTTCATTCTACTCTTAGCCAATGAGGTGCTTTGTTGATTAAGTTTGCATCTGTACCCAGATATTGAGCCAAGCCTGTACCCTTGATTCGTTGTCGGATTTAATTTTCCCAGAGCAATCAAACGGTTTGTAGTTTTAATTGCATGATCAGCTGTTATAACGATTGGGACAGTTCAGACTTCAGTGACTTCTAGCCTGGTCCCGTCTGGCATGTTTGCATTCTGATTGTTCTTACCAAGCTAGTGAATCTGAAGTTTTCCCTTCTGTGGTTAAGCCTCTTTCTCTGTTACATTTTTGTTTCATAAGGATCAAAGGTTTCCTAACTGCAGGCTCTGTTACACATTTTATACATACACTTTGTTGCCTCTTTATTTCTCTGCAATGAATCCTCTTTCGCTTTATTTTTCTATATTTCCCTCATTCTCTCCATACTTCGAACTCTTGAAGATTCTTTTGCAATTACTTGCACCTTTGGTTATTGGATTATTACACCTCAATCCCAAGCATTATCTGCTAAGAACAACTTTATATTCTGCTTTTCTAGTCAGATGTTTGATTTGCTTATATCACATCACTAAACTCTATTGCTTGATTCTTAATATCACATTCTTGTTTCAGGTGCTTTTAGGCTTGCTGAGTGTGTGGAATGTTTCATTCCTTGGATATCCAGCAAGAGTGAGTATATTATCATTCTGCTTCCATCTGGGGTATCTGGTTGACTCATCATTACCATACTAAACATTTGATATTTCAGGCAATATTACCCTATTCTCAAGCACTGGAGAAGTTGGCACCTCATATTCAACAGGCATGTTATTCTAACTTGCTTGCTTGCTTGTATGTTATTCCAGATGCCATACTTACATCCTTTACAAAAAATTGATTGAATTCAGGTCAGTATGGAGAGTAATGGGAAAGGGGTGTCAATTGATGGTGTCCCTCTTCCTTATCAGACTGGTGAAATTGACTTTGGTGAACCAGGGACGAATGGCCAACACAGCTTTTACCAATTAATTCACCAGGTAGCATAAATTTCCAGTTCCAACACTTCATGTTTTTTCCTGAAATTATGCCCATTCTGTACTTGATTTAGGCAGGTAACATGTGTCAACTTCTTCTTGTTCAAGATTGTATTAACACTTCCAGTTTGTTGACTACATTTTTGTCTTATATACTGTTCAACTTAATAAAAATGTAATTGTAGAAGCTTTATGTCGTTATTTTGCTGTTGTAGGTGTTGGGATTATGTCATTGAAATATTTTGTGCGAAAAGCGGCTCTTAGACAAGAGCATTGCTCTTTTGTTTGCATTAAGAATCTTCGAAAGCATATAAATGATATAATCTGAAGAAGACCTACAAGGTTATTAGAAAATTCCATTTGAATTCCTGTCCCACACACTATAGTTTCGACATGCTATGTAATATATTACGTGAATTAGTTTAGGAGATTGTAACTCTTGTTGTTATTAGGTGGTGCTTTGGTTCTTCATTTAATTATCTTTTGGGATGTGTCGGTGGAAGGATGTCAATTTGGGAGGTTCTAGGGATGGTTAGTGAGGACGATCCAAAACTCAACCACCTCCCCCTCAAACAACCACCCCAAAAGGAAAACTGAAAGAAGAAAGGGGTTCCAGGGTGTTATTTGAGTGGAATTAGTTATTTGTTTTCTATTTGCTGATGTTACCTCATTTTATCATTCTTCTTAACCTTATATATTTCAGCTTTATACTCTTTTAAGATAAGGTACAGATCAAATGTTGCTTGGAATGCCATGCTTTTTCCTTGAATTATTTTTTGTTCTGATTGTTGTTAGTTAAGCAAGTGCTCATGTATCTACACTTGGTATGTTTAGTTCTTTTTACAAAATCTCACTTGAATATTGAACACCATCTTCCTGGAATTTTCAGGGCCGTGTTATTCCTTGTGATTTTATTGGTGTTGTTAAGAGTCAGCAGCCTATTTACCTAAAAGGTACCAATTCCTTTTACTTTTTATCTTTTTTTTTTCGTCTGGTCTGATGAGCGATATATAAAGTAATCCTTGTTGTGAAAGATAGTATAGAAAAGTTTATCATTTCCACTAGGATTGGTACAAAAAACTATTCTTGTAGCTGAGGTGGTTATAAACCACGAGCTTTGCAATGGAAATCAAACAAGTTAAAGACTCATGACATATTCATGAAACGGGCAGTGAATGATAATTTACAATGGGACGAACTAGGGCAATCAACGAGATAGGTTATTCTCTAAGGATATACTCTTATTCAAGGTTCGCTTCTAGGTATTATTGAATCTTGCGAATTCGATAATTTTTTTTGGGAAGTAAAGATTTTGTTACCAGTTACCACCAAGTGTGATAATTAAAAAGCAAAAAAACTGGCAGGCAATGGGACAACCCCATGTCTGCATGCTCCAAAACTTCCTCTTCTATCCTATACAACCAGTACTATGTAAATACTAGCTAGAACAAGCTTAGGATAGTAATTTTCAAGCTCTCTAAAATCCTCTTTAGCCTACTATATATTGTACCTCTGTTATGTATCTCTTGGACCGCTCTTCTCAACAGAATATTAATTTCAGTTTTCTGATTTTGAAAGATCAGAACAGTCCTCTCATGCCACAAAGCATAGATACAGCATGCCAAGGAAAGCCTGTAGAGATCTGCAGCTGTACTACCACTGTTTGCATACATACTAGCCCATTGAAGCTCCTCTGTCCATCCCATAGCTCTTCCTCTGATCCCTTGCCACATTAATAGTTTTCCCATATAGTTCCTGGATACGAGAAATTAGATCATCCATTGCTAACAGAGATTCTTCTTTAGAATTAACTCAATTTACATTAGATAAAATAATGAAACCATAGCATACTTCTGCAAGGTGATGAGATTTGTTCAATGAGAACTTCATGCGGATGTTTTCTAACTTCAGTTCAGATTAATAATTTATAAGTACTTCCTATTACTTAGAAGGATTACTAAATATGAACTTAACCATGCAATGTGAAGATGTCACACCCCAAACCTGGGGAGGCGCGATCGGCATCAGGTGCTTCACTTGACTGGGAGAACCGACTGAAACCACACAATCAAGACTCAAAACCACAGGAAATCTGAGCTGACAATCCGCCATACACAACACTGGCTACAACCGTCGAACATCTTCATACATCACTCCCTTGGTACAATCACTCATTTGCAACATCATTCTACTGATATCTCATCCATGGGTGACATTAAGCAATAAGATTAGACTCGTGAGTCTTCGATGGCCTAATTTAAACACTATGAAAGTGCGTTTGTTACAAAAGATATTCATCAAAACACTTCTCTTTTGATTAACATGCAATAACGTTACTCCACAATTTCTTTAGAAATCCACGACAAGTTCTAAGCATTCAACAAAATTTAAAACTGGAAGTGATAATCATTATACCATATCCATCTATGTCTTATGAGAAAATTACTTCGTAGAAGAGAAGTACATTGCAAATAAGAATAAAAACCTAGAAAACACTACAACCAACTTCTCAATCCAAACTATTATATTTAATTGATCATCGATGGCAACTCTTCGAATCCTCATGTCTCCAAGCGAGGAGCCTTTCTCTACATCTTAGGTCAAAAGTCCTCCCAAGTTGTGCTTTCCATGTTTTTTTTTTTTTTGATAAAGTGTGTTTCCCATGTATTTATACCGTGTAGAAATGACCTTAATGAACCAAAGCAGGACCGCATATGCCCAAAATTAGCATAGCACGCTGTGCTAAGAGTAAAATCCTGAGACTGATTTCAACAACAGATGGCCCAAATTGATCTTGCACAAGAGGGATTTCCCAAGACCATAATTTCTGCAGTTCTGATCCAAAATTGCCCTGGCACCTTGGGCCATAAGGCGTTCAAGGGTAACTTTGGGTCTTTTATTTTTTCTTGTCAATTTTTCTCATGCACACTTGGTTCTCGACCCATGAGCTTGACTTTGGTTAATTTCCTAGAACTTCTATTCAGACTTCGAAGCTTCAGTTCATCTGTTTTTGCTCCAAATTAGTTTCACTGGGGAACAAGTCCTACACAAGACAACACACGTATTAATTATGTAATGCTCAGATTTTAGCTGAAACACAATTAAAGTATTCAATTTTAAGGCAAAAGGCAGCTAACACGCGACTTTTCTAGCCTAATATCATGGTCTCCCATTCCCATTTTACGGATTAAGACAAAATAAAATGTTGACACCTAGGTTACAGTCTGCTGCTTATTCCATTTTTTATCTAATTTTGGGCTACTCATTTTCAGATGAAGTGGTGAATAACCATGATGAGCTCATGTCGAACTTCTTTGCGCAGCCAGATGCCCTTGCTTATGGGAAGGTGAGACACTTTTTCTATTTTTTACAATATACCCACCGGCCACCACATACCTGTTTAGTTAAAATTAGGAAATATATCTCATTCAATTGATTATCAGTATCAACTTTCTTCACAGACACCAGAGCAGTTGCAAAAGGAGAATATTCCTGAGCATCTTGTTTCTCATAAGGTAATTCCTTCCTTATCTGATGATATTCTGCTATACTTAGAGGTCAATTCTCAAACTCCTACAATATCTTGCAGACATTTTCTGGAAATCGACCTTCTCTAAGTATACTACTTCCATCATTGTCTGCTTACAATATTGGACAGGTATGAGATATTAGATTTTAAAGTATTCTACAAGTGTTTCTGAGTTTTGAGTGACACAGTATGTCCTACGTGTGTACCATTGTATAAGTGACCTTGTGAAACTCACTGCTACCTTTCTATTAACTGCATCAATGATTTTCAATGAATTCTGTTTGTCACTGATGCAAGCTTAGTGCAATGGGGTGCCCATTTATTTATTTTTGAGTGGTAGAGCTTAGGGGTAAAGTGTGAGAAGGAATAACTTACTGCTTTTGAAAGAGACAATGAAGTGATTCCTTTGAGGTCGATTGATATTACATTTTGCCAAATAAATTTCTTCAATAAAATTACCAGATAAAATTAATTAACTGAAAAGCTAATAAATTGCTACTAACAATGACCAGTTGAATCTTGTACTCAGTGATTTTAATCTCTTTAAAAGTTCCATGTGAAGCTAGTCTATGTACATTTCTCCAATCTCTTCTTTTGCTTCTTTACCGTCAATAAATGACTTGATAGTATATGTCCCGTAGCTGGTATAAAGTCCGATGTTAGGACACATGCCTTTCTAATTTGCTCCTATAGAAATATATATAAATAAAGATGCAGAGGGAGAGATAGCTTATTGCAAGTAAAATTCAGAGCCACATTTCTGTTAGAAAACTAACTCATAGATCCCTGATGTTGGGATTATGCATCTCCTTTATCCTGAGATCTCTGCCGTAGTTCTTTGCAGTTGGAGAAGATGCTAAAAGTGTGGAATAATTATACTAGTACTACCAAATTAGTCTGTGAAAGAAGAGCTATATTTTAGACCACCTTTAATTATAATTTGACAGTTGATGAACTTGACACAGTGTTTGCAAGTAGTAGTATTGCCTGTAGGATGGTGAGAGATGGTCGTTATATTTTCTCAGACATTTCTTTGTCATGCTTGATTAAAGGAGATTCCTGTTTGATTTTGGTGTTTTCTCAAGATAATATCTTTCATCTTGACCTTTGTCTTCATTTTTGTGGCATGCTGCAAGTAGTGACAATTATCCTCGTGTAAAGACACATTCCTCTTCTTGTGATCCCTAATCTCATCTTAACGCTATCATCTTTCCTTTCTTTCAGTTACTGGCCATCTACGAGCACAGAGTTGCAGTCCAAGGCTTCGTATGGGGTATCAATTCTTTTGATCAGTGGGGTGTGGAGCTAGGAAAGGTACTTCTAAGAAAATGCCTTAAATTGAGTAATTGAACATTCTATAATACTAATATAATACTGAGTACCTTGTTTATTTATGTCCTCTGCAGTCTCTAGCGACTCAAGTTAGAAAGCAACTTCATGCATCTCGTAAGAAAGGAGAATCAGTTGAAGGCTTCAATTTCAGCACCAAAATGTTGATAACAAGATATCTCGAGGTATGACACGATTTCGTTACACCAAAAGTGGAAAAAACCTGGGTAACAAGGTTGCTTATGGTTGCCCAGCAAATTACCCAGATTGTTGCATGGAAGTTCTTCTCTCACTTTTGGAAATGCTACTTTAGAAAATGAGAGACAATTCCAAGCTTATCTGGAAAGGAAAAGAAAAGAAAAGTTGACTCCTTTTTTGAAGTAAAACAGGCAACATTCAGACATGTTTATGTGTTTCAGTTAGTAGGCAACACTAAACAATTTTCATAGCTGCATTGATCTCCCGCTAAAACTTCCTCTGGCCTCTTTTGGTTAACTATTTTATGCTTAAGTTCTATTTTTAAGATTTCTTTTTCTGGACATTAATTCCAAGAAGATTATTTTCCCTGGCTTCTGGTGCCATGGGGCAAGTGCAAGAGTTCCATGTACTAGCAAGAATACGGTGGTACAAACATATCGGATAGTGATTCATATCACTTGCAGGAGGGGTCGCTTGGTTTGGACCAAGGACGTCCCTGGGATTATAATTCCACATTGCATATGTGATAGATTTATATCGTATCAGCCAAGAACACTGACCAAACATGGATAAATGTAATTCTAAATTTTATACTAGGACCAAAAGACCCATTAGTGCCTGAGCCTTGACAACCCACCAGAGGATTCATTGCTTTTTTATGATAAGTAGTTTATTTCACAATTTTGATCTGCTATTGAGTCCTTAACACTTGGAGACTATATTCATTGGAGGTTTACTGGAGTTTTTTTTTTTTGGCAGGCAAGTGCTGATGTTCCTTCTGATCCTTCAACTCTTCTGCCAAATATATGAGGTATGTTAAGAATCGGGTTTGATGACCACAGATTAACGGAGGCCTCAACTTCACTACCAAGCAAAATGAACAAATTTTAATCAATCAGTTTTGAAGTTTACATAAAAGTTTTGGTGTTGTATGGTCACTCATCTGGGCAAACATATCGCTGCAGTTGTATCAATAAAATTCAAAGCATTTATTTCTGGTTTCATTTATAAAAATAATGGTTTTTTAACTTGCAAGTCTGTGTCAGTTAGTGAAAGTGAACTAAGTTTAAGCTGATTGTGAAAAAAAAATAAAAATTCAATTGAAAACAGATGTTTTTTGAATCTTCAACATTTCATTGTTGAACTTTTTCTTTTCCAGAAAAAACACAATTCAAATGCTAGCTCTCACCATACAGTGTCCGCATGGAACTTAGAATGCCAAATTGAATAACTTATAAAACCTCAAACACAAGGAAACGGAACGAAGGGAGTGCAGAAATATTCATTAGAACTGAAACCTAAAGGACATCAATGGCTTAGAAAAGGTGTAGGCAAATAAATTTGTAATGGAAAACCTCTACAGAAGAAAAGCAGGAACCCCAGGCACAATATGAAGTTAAACAGACAACTTATAGGAATATAAACAGCGAAAAATGAGATGTGGAATCACTTGGAGTTCACCGCTGCTTCTGTATCCTCTTGTCTCTAATGGGCAATTCAACAGGTTTCTGTGCCTCGTGAGGATGTTCAGGACCTTTATACACCTTAAGATGTGTAAATAGTTGTCTACCAAGCTGCATAAACAGACACTTTAGAATGTGGAGTGGAGTATATAAAATGTAAAAAAATGCAGAAATCTATCTTTTTTCTACTGATTGTAATCACTAATTCAAGACAAAACAAGTGCAATCACCACCAATTCTGAGATCCAATAAAATGACCTTGTCAATTTCATTATAGTGTAAGCCATACAGAAATGATGCAGGATTAAGGGTAAGGCATGTGTTAACCCATACAACCCTCCATTCGAAGAAGTAATACTCTTTTATGCACAAGTGTATCTAGGATCTAAAATCATTTGGTTTATATGTGTGTATAGAGATAAATACTACTACACACACACACACAAGTATATTGTAATTTAAGTTCCATGGATGCTATTGCTAACGGGAGATGAGAGATATTATTAATGGAGTCCCTAATAACTGATAAGTGATACTTGGTCCCCAACATTATATGTAAATTGCCAAACATCTTCTTTAGGTTAATCAACATAAAGAAAACTCAGCACAATACAAATAGTAAAGCATACTGACCCTCCCTTTGGGAAGCATGCCACGGACAGCATGCTCAATGATTCTTTCTGGAATTCTCTGTTGCAGTTGATCAAAAGTCTCTACTGTCATCCCACCTGGTCTGCCGGAGTGCCTCCTATAAAGTTTTTGGCTCCTCTTCTTCCCAGATACAACAACCTTCTCAGCATTAACCTTTTTTTGGTGTTCAAGTAAAAACAGAAAATGATTTACTGTTAAAGAGAGCTGGAAAGTGTCAAAGTTATATAATGCTCATCTTACGCGTCCAGATGTAGGGTCAAACAATCTAATTTTCTTATGTACCCAACTAATATGGCATTGACACATGCCTAATGTGTAAACCTTAGTTAAGTGATACAACGAGGAGTGATCAGACAGTAAGCAGCAGCAGGTCCCTATGCACACAAAGGATTTCATCTAAGTTGAACAAACACAAGTCTTTCAAATGTCAGCCTAGCTAAGTGATAATAGGAAGTAAAGTTCACTTGTATGTTTCTTATGCAACATAAAAGATTTCATCGAAGATGAATAAAGAACCATGCCTCAGGGAACTCGATGTCATGAGATGCGAAATAAAAACTGACCGTACTAGCAACAGGTATTCGTTCAAAATGACCACTCATAAAAAATAATCAAAACTTAGTGGATAACGGATCGCGTCTCTACAGTTGTCAGCTTAAATACCAATACCAGGCCTGCGTCTGCAGCAAGGTTCAGATCCATTTTTATCTTTCAATGATCTTCTATCTAAGACTACATAACATGGTCCAACATTCTTTAAGTATTGAGGATATTAAAGCTATAATTGAAAAAGTAAAGAGTAGGATGTTAAGATATGACACCTGGATCGCCTAACTCAACCCCCAAAAATTAATTCATGAGGGGTGTTTGTCCAAGTCCATATAAGGAGATCAAATTCCCATCCCTCTATCGGTGTGGGATATCGACATCGATATCTTAACACACCCACACACCCAGATCTCAACTGAAACGTAAACACTTCTAAATGGGTCTGACTCGTATACCATGTTAAAATATGATTACTTGAACTAACTCAATCCCAAAAACTAGCTCATTAAGGGAGGTTAGGAGACCAAATTCCCATCTGTTTGCTGACATGGTTAATTAACTTAGAGAAAAACACTTACCACTATGACAAATGCACCCATATCAACACTTGGAGTGTATGTAGCCAAATTCTTCCCTCTCATATGTATGGCTATAGTTGATGCCATTCTTCCAAGAATTTTATCACTGGCATCAATAATATACCATGGTTTATCAGTGTTCACATGGTCAGCAGCCTTGGGATACCATGTCTCATTCCAAATGTCCTTACACACAAACAAAGAAAAATCTAGTTATTTCCATATAAATCAATCAAAATATTTTTTCCCCAAAATTCGATATAACCTAAAGTTGCCATTTTTAATCAGTAAAACAAATAAAAAGAAGTTTACAGGGCCATCGATTTCAGATTCTTCAAACATCCATCGCTGGTCAAGAGGAATATATGCAGCTTTGTCTTGGCACCGAATTTGAGCGGTCCGATTGTTCCCGGAAAAGGTTAATGACGACGGCGCTGCCATGGAAAAACCCAGAAATGGGGTTTTGTTAGACAACGATTTCGGTGAAGGGCAAGTGAACATTAACGAACAATAGTAGTGAACTGCCATTCTTTGTTACTCTCTCTTTAGCTCCAAGTAGATAAGGGAACAATACATATAGAATTATAGAAATGCATAATAAGCAAAATTCTAATATCTATTTAAAAGTATATTTAAATGCAGATACTACAGCAATATTGCTCCCTCCGTCCACTAATAATTATCATATTTTTCTATTTTTAAAGTCAAACTATAAAATTACAGTATATAGTATTTTTTTCTATAATTTTTGAATATTTAAAATATTGAATTAACGTATCTAATTTAACTTTGGAAATTAATCAAATTGAATTTCGAAAAGCGCAACATGACAAATAAAAATGGACATAGGGAGTAATAAAAATAGAGTTGTAATTATCTATTTTTAATTTACCTGCTTTGGGGGTCGTTTTGACTTGAAAATGCACATGTTTGCCCCTCGGAACCAACTGGCTTCATCACTAAGATCTTAATAGACGTCCATAAAAAATTTCAGTCGAAATCTCCAATCACCAAAAATTCATGGATGATAGCTCACGGAGATTAGTAAAATCTGTTTTTTTACTTTAGGGCTCGAATGAACTTGAAAATGTGCTTGTTTGCCCCTCGGGATCAAGTGACTCCATTACTCAGGTCTTAACGAACGTTCATAAAAAAATTCAGCCAAAAATAAGTCAGAATCGTGAACCACCAAAAATTCATGGATTAACACACGAAAATCGATAGAATCTTGTTTCACCTGCTTTGGGGCTCGATTGAACTTAAAAATGTGTTTGTTTGCTCCTCGGGACCAACTAGCTCCATACTAAGGTCTTAACGGACGTTCATGAAAAATTTCGGCAAAAATTCACGGATTATAGCACATGAAAAACAAGCTGGAATCCCAAATTACCAAAAATATATGAACTATAGTACACAAAATTGATTTTTAAAAATGGTTTTACCCACTTTGGGGCTCATTTGAACTTGAAAATGCGTCTGTTTGCCCCTTGGGACCAAATGACTCTGTTACTAAGGTCTTAACGGACGTACATGAAAAATTTTGACAAAAAACAAGCCAGAATCCCAAATCACCAAAAATTCATGGATTATAGCACATGAAAATCGAGAAAAATTGTACATGTTTTAAGGTTCGTTTGAACTTGAAAATACATTTATTTTTCTCTCAAGACCAACTAACTCCATTACTAAGGTTTTAAAGGACGTCCATGAAAAATTTAGGCAAAAAACAAACATGAATTTCGAATCACCAAAAGTTCGTGGGCATTGACACAAAAATCAGCAAAAATTGGTTTTACCTGCTTTTGGGCTTGTTTGAACTTGAAAATATGCATGTCTGCCTCTCAGGACCAACTAGCTCCATTACTAAAGTCTTAATGGATATCCATGAAAAGTTTTGGCAAAAAACAAGTCAGAACTATGAATCACCAAAAATTCATAACCTATAGCACACAAAAAATTGAGAAAATATTATTTTACCTACTTTGAGATTCGTTTGAACTTGAAATTGTTGTATGTTTGCGCCTTGGGACAAATTAACTCCATTACTGAAGTCTTAACAGACGTTTATGTAAAATTTCGGCCAAAGACAAGCCAGAATCCCAAATTATTAAAAATTCATGGATTACAGTACAGAAAAATCGATAAGGTCTTGTTTTAACTTCTTTGGGGATCGTTTGAACTTGAAAAAATGCATATTTACTAAGGTCTTAACAGACGTCCATGAAAATTTTCAGCCAAAAACATGTCGAAATTTTGAATCACTAAAGATTCATGGAATATAGCACACAAAAATCAGTAAAATTTGGTTTTACCTGTTTTGAGACTCGTTTAGACTTAAAATGTGCTTATTTCTCCCTCGAGATTAACTAGCTCAATTATTTATATTTTAACGGACGACCATAAAAGATTTCAGCCAAAAACAAGTCTCGAATCTCAAATCACCAAAAATCAATGGACTATACCACACAAAAATTGGTAAAATCTTATTTTACCTGCTTTTGTGCTCGTTTGAACTTGAAAATGTGTTTGTTTTCCCCTCGAGACCAACTAGCTCCATTACTAAGGTCTTAATGGATGAAAAAAACAAGTCTGAATCACGAATCACCATAAAAATGTGGACTGCACACGAAAATTTGTAAAATTTAGTTTTACGTGCTTTAGGGCTCGTTTGAACTTGAAAATGCACTTGTTTGTCCCTCGGGACCAACTGGTTCCATTGCTAAAGTTTTAACAGACGTCCATGAAATAATTTAGCAAAAAACAAGCCTAGAATCTTTATGAAATAATTTAGCAAAAAACAAGCCTAGAATCCCGAATAACCAAAAATCATGGACTACAGTTAACGAAAAATTGGTAAAATCTTATTTTACTTGTTTTGGAGCTCGTTTGAACTTAAAAAATGCGTCTATTTTACCCTCTGGACCAACTAGATCCATTACTAAGGTCTTAACGGATGTCCATGAAATATTTTAGGCAAAATAAAACAGAATCTCGAATCACAAAAATCCATGGTTTGTAGCACACGAAAATCAGTAAAATCTTATTTTTCTACTTTGGGCTCGAATGAACTTGAAATGTATTTGTTTGCCCCTCGGGACTGAGTGGCTTCATCATAAAGTCTTAATGAACGTGCATGAAAAAATTTCAGGTAAAATCAAGCCGAAATACTGGACCACCAAAAATGCATGGACTAGCACATTAAAATTCGGTAAAATATTGTTTCACCTGCTTTGGGACTTGTTTGAACTTGAAAATGCGCATGTTTACCCCTTGTGACCAACTAGCTCCATTACTAAGGTCTTAACGGGCCTCCATGGAAAATTCTGGCAAAAAACTAGCTGGAATCACAAATCACCAAAAATTTGGACTATAACACACTGTAAATCTAGTTTTACCTGCTTTAGGTCTCGTTTCAATTTGAAAATATGCATGTTTGCCCCTCAGGATCAACAGACTCCATTACTAAGGTCTTAACAGGCGTACATGAAAAAATTCGGCCAAAAACAAGTTGAAATCCCGAATTACCAAAAATCTATTAAACACAGAAAAATTGATAAAATCTTATTTTACCTACTTTTAAGGCTCGTGTGAATTTAAAAATGTGTTTGTTTGCCCCTCAGACTAATTGAATATAATACTAAGGTCTTAACAGATATCCATGGAAAATATCGACCAAAAACAACCTTGAATCTCGAATTACTAAAAAAATCGTATATTATTGGACAGGAAAATTGATAAAAATGTGTTTTACTCGCTTTAGGGATCATTTGAACTTGATACGCCCGTTTACCTCATAAGACAAACTAGTACCATTATGACGGTCTTAACAAACATCCATGAAAAAATTTGGTAAAAAACAAGTTGGAATTTAAAATCACCAAATTTGTGGACTAATGTATAGGAAAATAAGTTTAATCTAGTTTTACCTACTTTGGGGCTCGTTTGAACTAAAAAATACGCTCATTTGTCCATCGGAATCAACTGGCTCCATTACTAAAGTATTGACATACGTCCATAAAAAATTTTGGCAAGAAACAAGACGCAATTAGGAATCACCTAAAATCCATGGACTATAGCACATAAATCAGTAAAATTATTTTACTTGCTTTCTGCTTCATTTGTACTTGAAAATGTGTTTATTTGTCCCTCGAGACCAATTGACTCTTACTACAATCTTAACGGATTTTCATGTAAAATTTCAGCCAAAAATTGGTCAGAATCCGAAATCACCAAAAGTCTTGCTTCTACAAGTGGAAAAACAACAACTCACACCAAAAAGGGCCATGAGTGTTGATCATCCAAAGAAAACATGAGCCAGACTCGTATTGTGAAACCTCATTACCATCGACCTATTCATTCGAGAGAAGTTGAGGAGAGAAATGTTGAACACCCTATTAAAACCCTATTAATATAGTAGCACATATAACAATAGGTCCTTTTTTTTTATGAGACCATTTTTGTTTGGTCTCTGTTAAGGAAAATTTAGCTAACTAGTCAAAAAAATCAACTTATTTGGTGATAAACTCCATACGTTAATATACTAGTAAACATGTCAAAAATGTCATTATTTTAAAAATAAAAAAATATTCCGATACAATTCATGTTTTCTCTCTCATAGATTACATGTGTCCCTATATTTCAATAATTGGCTAAATATTAAAGTCCTCTAATTATGTTTTTTTTCAATTTCTCTCTAAGATTAATCCAAATCAAATATCTCCTAATTTTGAGATTCAATATATCTTTATTTTCGATTATTTTCCTTTAATTTCGTTTCAAGATTGGATTTTGAAGATTAATATTGATTTCGGTATGCATGTTTATTATATTCTTTATTATTTGCTTACTGATTTTACTATTGTTTAAAATCTATTTTGATTTGTTGTTATTCTTAAAACCTCTTTAGGGATTGATAATTCAAATTCTCTGTTCAATTGATGATTTCAAGAGAGTTACTAGAGGTATCGGACAAAATAATCAAACTTCTACTGATTTTCCATCATTTAATCTATTTTTCACTCAAAAAATAAAGGATAATGTAGGTTACGCTTCTAAATCTATGGACGATAGACGGCAGAAAAAATTGCAGGACTCTGTCGGTGTGCAAAATCCCTCACAAATTCATAACGATGAAGATGAAGAAGACCAATTGTTGAAGAAGAGGTATTTTATTTTTTTTGCATGTTATGTGTCTTGCATGTTACAATGCGTTTTTACTATTATAGAATATACTTGGAAGTATATATGAAATTTTGATTTTATTATATTTAGCATGTATTTTTGTATTTCATAGATTTAATGTATTTTGTATTCTGATTTTTTTTGTGTTAGTTATGTCAATGTACCACATATTATGCGTTTGATTGTGCTATTAACTATTATATAATAGATTTAGAAGTGTATATGGAATTTTGATTCTGTTATAGTTAGTATATATTTTTGTATTTCATAGATTTAATGTATTTTGTATTCTTTTTTTTTGTTAGCTATGTCAATGTACCACATATTAGGAACCATATGTGTTTTTATTTTCCACATTGATACATATTAAGTAAATTAAGTGCACATTTACAATTTTAATTTGGTGTCTTTTTGTTCGATGGGGTGTGTCGTTGTAACTATGTTGAGGTTGTATTCATTAGTCATGTGTGTTTGTTGTGTTATTATAATTGTGGTTGTATTCCAGTATATTGAAAATACAATTAAAAATTTTACATTTCATTTGACTTATAACAAGTAGAGTTGCTCCTTTAGTGTTTTCATTTTTTTTATTTTAGTATTATTTAATTATTTTGAATTTAATATGTCAGGGGACAACTTATGCTTGCAAACAACTATCAAAAAATGTACCCCACATTCACTGCATAGTAAATCATGACATTAAAACACAGTTGATTGTCAAGCTTACACCGAAGCAGTATAAATAGTTTTGTGAGACAACATGTTTTGGTCAGTATATGAAAATCAGAAAATGTGTTGCTCAAGGTCAAATTCACAGGTGTTGTATGTCACTAGAAGTAGAAGCTAGTACCCTAGTAGTAAGCAGACTCTTGTCATCAAAGTTAATGGAACTATATTAAAGTTTACAATTAGGACGTTTGCGCTCATTACTAGATTAAATTGTGTTGGTATTGTAGATGATTTCAAGTTTAACACAGAAGAACCTAATGGGTTTATTGTTTAGTACTTTGGTAGTAATGAGTTAATACGTAGATTTGATTTGATTGATAGATTTAATGATAAAGTTTGAGTTGATAATGAAGATGATGCGATTAAGTTTGCAATATTCTATTTCATCCATATGTATGTGTATTCTGGCGAGAAGAGATCATTGTGAATTCCTAGAATTCACTTTGATTTGGTTGAAAGTAATCGATATATGCATTATCAGTGGGGTAGAAAAGCATTCGAGTGGTTGCTACATAGTATCAACAAGGTTTTGTCTTCTAATGGGCAATATTATAGAATATGTGGTATGCTTGTTGTCCTTCAAATATAGATATATGAGTGCATAGATAAGGTTCAGACGAATTTTGCACGGAAAATCAGTGATCGTATCCCTCGAATTCTAAACTGGCAAATAGTAGAAGAAAAATCTTGATTCAAAATATTGATGAAAGACACATTCTATGATGGTAATAGAGAGGTATTGTGGATAATTAACGAAAGTATACCGTTGTAATTGTTTTCATTTCATGTATATCCTTTATTTCATTAATTATTGTGTTTAATCTCGTGTTCAAATTAAACCAAAGAATATTGTCCCTTCTCTGATGGAAATTGTTGTTCTAGTTGCCACCCAAAGGTGTTGAAAATTCATACGAAGGTGTTCAATTAGAGCCAAATGATGATATTGATGAACAAAGCACTTTCTGGACAGAATTCAGACGATGATTTTGTCAACGAACCTCCAGCATCATTGAAGCTTACAGGTAAAAGAAAAAAGGGGCAATCAGTATCACCTGCCAAAAGGTTAAGAATGAAGCACTCAAATGTCGCAGATCAAATTGAATGGATTGAACAACTTGATCCAATAGTGAAACAAGCTGTGAAAAAAGCGGCGTTTCCAAAAGTTTTGCGGAAGAAACATAAATTGTGTACTAAGAATACAACTACTCGCACTTATGTGCCAACTATGGATTCTGAAATACCATCTGGAAGTGTGTCTCATGAACAACTTATGTCAACAATGCATATTCTTAGTTATAATTGCCTCATTTGCTTAATCAACATAACAATTATCTTCAGTCCAATGTCCAGAATGCATAATTATAAAACTAATGCTCCCCATATATGCTTTGTAGTAAAAAAAATAATAATACACAAAGTCAATACTAAATACAAAAATTAAGATGTTACCATTAATTTGTATCCAGAATACAAAACAATATAGTTACACTAGTAATTCGAATATATGATTCGAACATGATTCCTTTTATAAAATTGTGATGCATCACATATGTATTCTGTTGGATATACAATATTTTATACAAAAATTACAAAACAAATTCAAATCAGAATTGTTTTTATTTTTACAATAAATCAGTATATTTGTATTCGCAAACCAAACAAAGTCAACAAACCCAGAAAAATAATGATAATTGCATCGTTCAAAATACATAAAATTCAAAACGCAAATACATATGATTAATAATTATACAAAGAAAATCGCATCAGATTATAATCAATTACTAACATATAAGGATTAATTAACTAACAAATACCTGACTGTATGTATTTTTTGACTTTTCTATCGTGTTTCTTTTCAAAAAAGTTTTTCTCCAGTTGCTTTTTCAAAACATAAATCTCGCCAGAAATTTTTTGTAATTGATCACCATCATGAATAATGGATAGAGTTATTCCTCAATTTTTGAATATGTTGTAATTGATAGGTGAGAATTTTAAGCTTCTGTTACTTTTTAAAAAATTTCTCTCCCCTAAATCGCTCCTGTTTGTTATATAATTTCTGTATTCTTTATAATTAAATCAAATAATTAAAATATAATTAACATACATAATAAAATAAAATTTTGACATTATCACTAAATATTGAAATCGTTTACATAATACCTCCATTAAATACTAAAATATTAATATTTTGAAAATCCCCCCACCCCCACGCCACCCCACACCCTTTTTAATGCTTTTTCATTCTTTATGTTTCTGCCTTTTGGGCTTACTACAACCCAACCAAATATTTTTGGGTTGATTTTTAGTAAAAACAAGCCCCTTGTGCAATTATACTGGAAAAAATATATTGTGGAATCAATAGTTTTTTCAAATTAGCTTTAAAAAATTAAAGAAAAAGTTAACTAATAAATATGAATATCCTTATATATATATACACTTCAAGATCAGATTTTCTCGATTTGATATCTAGTTTATATGTGTTATTTCTCTTTATTAATAAATCTAATTTCTTATAAGAAAAAAATCTTATGCTTTGATGTTGAAAGATTAATCAAGTCAAAACTTGCACGCACAATTACAAATTATTTTTATGAATGTACTATTTTTTAATCTTATATTCAACTATTTAAGAGTCAAATAATTTTTATTCATTATTTTTTATTTATTTTACTTGCTTTTAGTTATAAATTTCTGCGTTAGGGTACTTCTTGAAATTTTTTAGAGGCTTTACTTTTAATTATAAATAATAAGAAAAATAGTAGACATAAAATTTGTCAACAACATCAAAATTTATTTAGTATTCAAGATACTAATTAGTGTTATCTTTTTCAATTCACCATCACATTTGAAGTGTTATAATATTTATCATAGTTAAAATAATTTATTATCAAAAATAATTTTATTTTGATCAACCAAACAATACAAAATGTTGACCAACTATAGCTATGATCATTCGACTCCAAAATGATATTAAAAGCTCATTAAACTGACCATCTATAAATTAATAACATGTAAGTTTAAGTGTGGAAATTAGTTTATAAATAAAATATTACTAATAATATGTAGTTGACGTAAAAATATATATTGATAAGTTGTTTTCATATTGACCCTAAGTGTCATTTTCGGAAATTTATGGAAATTATCATTTTATCGTTCTGTTAGTTCTATCGAGTTGTATTTGATTTGTTTATGAGGTTAATTTTGTGGTGAGATCGAAAAGTAGAGATTTTTGAAAGTTTTAGATTAAGTTGATACAAGTGACTTTAGTTAACATTCAAAGCTATTAATGTTGGAATATAATTCTTTCAGTTCCATTAACTCTAAATATGAAATTTAATCCCGGAGTGTTGTCGTTTTCAATTTCAAAGTCTTAATATGAATTTTAGTCCTTCAATTGGAGGTTGAAGTGAATTTAGGTCAAGAGTTGTCTTTAGTCAATATTCGAAATTCAGACGCTCATATTAAATTTTTATTGATTCTGTTGGATTCAAGACGTAATTTTAGGTTTAGGTAAGATCTTGTTTCAATTTTTGAAGTTTCCAAGGGCATTTTGATATTTTCGGATGAAAGTTAGTTTATTGTGGCTTAAATGGGTGTCGGATCAAGGAGACCTCAAATTCATATTTTTGATGGTTTCAATGATTCTAGAACGCCGAATTTAGTGGGTAGCATATCTAGTTTGTCTACATGGGATTCTGAACAAATTTCATTGGCCTTTTCGGTGATTTTTTTTACTCTTAATGTTTTGTTGATGATGTTTTGATATATTTTATAGTGATGTTTATGCACTTTAATATTAAAATAAAAATATTAAGTGCATATGTTATTAAGTATAAAATGACAAGAATGTGTTTATTATTCTTCTAACCATCGACTCTTCATTTCATCCATTATTCACTTATTATTCTACCTCATTATGTTTGTAACTTGTTTAACTTTTGGGTCATTCCTCTACCCAATTTACTATCTCATTATCTTCTTAGTATTGAAAGGAAGAATTCCTCACCTATAAATAGTGAAGGTTTTACTTTGTGTTGTGGAGAAGAGACGTACAAAAGAAATATTGTAAGGAAAGATGAAAAGTATTATATTGAGATTATTATACTGAAAAAGAGAGAGTTGAGACTAAGAACAATATTCGAAAGTTCGGAGCCTAAAGGGTACAAAATATTAACAAAAATTCCAAAACGGTATATAAAGTTTTATATTAACCAAAACGGCAAAATCGCTGCATCAACAGCGACTTACTCCATCGAAAAAAGCAAAATCGCTGCCTCTGCAGCGATTTTGCAAAATGTGATTTTTTTTAAAAAAAATCGCTGCCAAGTCAGCGATTTTATTTATTTTTTGTTTTTAAATAAGGTAAATCGCTGCCAAGGCAGCGATTTAACATTTTAATTTTTTTTTAAAATATGTTAATCGCTCATCGATTTATAATTTTTTTAAATAAAAAAACTGAGCGATTAACATTTTTAATTTTTTTTTAAATCGCTGCCATTGCCAGCGATTTCCATATTTTTTTTAAAAAAATTAAATCGCTTCCTTGGCAGCGTTTTATTTTATTTTATTTAAAAAAAATAACATTTTGCAAAATCGCTGCAGAGGCAGCAGTGATTTTGCTTTTTCCGGTGGAGTAAATCGCTGTTGATGTAGCGATTTTGCCGTTTTGGTTGATATAAAATTTTATATACCGTTTTAAATTTTTTGTTAATATTTTGTACCCTTTATGCTTCGGACTCCAATATTCGAAGTCTTCAACTAATTCACTATATAAGAGAGAGTAATAATATGTCGAAGGAAGGTGTTTTTTTTTTTGTGAAGCTTTTATTTAAACTCTTCACCTAAACCTAGAGTTGCTTGAATTATATGACGTTGTTGAATAGTTGTATCCTGGAGGGGATAAGTCAAGAGTGATATTGCTGGATCGTTGTAGATTATATTGCAGTGGGCTTGAATCTCCTAAAAAAGGCGAGATATTCGTAGCTCAGTCTAATATTTTTACTTTTATATATATATATATATATATATATATATATATATATATATATACATTAAATAATTAAATGACATATTTGGACATTCTTAACATAACAAGTTGCTATTCTGGATACCCTTTGTTAAATTCCTGGATCTGCCACTGCTGAAATCTATGCTCTTTACTTTTGAATGCGTAAGTAGATACTTAAATTTGTATAAAATTAAACATTTTAAAACATTAATTCAAACTGTATGAGGGGATTAAATTCTCTAAAGAAACACAATTTTTTTATGGGCTGGAACGATAATTTTTCCTTTCAGTATTTTTTTTTTGTTTCTGGTTATATTTTGATTGCAAGAATAACATTATATATATTTACTATTTATATGATGTCTACTGTGTGTGCAAAATTTCAAAGAAACTGTTTGCATTTATTTCTTTTTATTTTTATACGTAGATTTCAAGTTAACAAAAATATAATATTTAGAATTCATTCGAAATAATTTTCTTTAGTACTCCTTGTAATCATTTAAAATTTATTAAATATAAATTTATAAAATGATTCGGATTATATTGAATTCATAAATATATTAATCCAAAAAAATATTGTGGATTGATATAATTGAGTTAAATATTTAAGTCCAATAAATATGGATTTAATTAAAGTCTAAATTAATTGATTTGGGCGGCATTGGATGAACCCAATTTGTTAAATCCAATCTCATCTCATTCTAGAGCCCATCTTGGCGCCACGTGTGCAGATGATGTGGCATGCCAAATCAAATAAGAAAACCAATAGAATCATGACATGCGTCAAAGATGACAAGTCCACTCCATAAAGCCCAAATGCCATGTCACTTAAATCTGATTGGCTGAACGGAATCCTATTCCAATCGCAACTCCTCTATTCTAAAACTATAAATAGGGGTCCTCATAATTCAGAAAAGGGAGAGAAAATTCTAAACGAGAAGCTAGAGAAACTCTGTGGTACAAACGCCATTTAATTCTCTACAAAGCTACAAGTTTAAGAATTCAAGCATTCAAGTTCAAGAACGATCAAGATCAAGACCACCGAATTCAAGAACAAGCTCAAAGCCCTTGAGTTCAAATAAAAGTCAAGATCAAGATAAAGTTCAAGTTCAAGTTAATCATAGATTCAAGAACAAGATTTAAAGCCCTTGAATTTATATTTGAAAAGGCGAATTCAGAGGAATTATAGAGATTGTAACACTCGCATTTGAAATAATAAAATTGATTGTTGCTATAATTTTCCGTTCTTGATTATTGTTTTCTTGACGCGGATTTTATTGTCTACAAATTCTGGCACGCCCAGTGGGACAATCTCTACCTCTCATTTCAACTTTTCAAACGTTAAAGAATATCAAGATGACTTCCATGAACAACAACTCTCAATCAATCGCCTCTAAGGTCACTAGATCCAAGTTCTCTACTGAAGTTGAAGACATCCTTGGTGTTACCTTTGGAAGTTTTGGAGTTGTTACGAGAAGCAAGGCTGCTACATTAGGAAAACAAACGCTTCAAGTGTCGTGTGCGTCAACTCCTATTTTTGGGTCTTCGACTCCAAAAGGAGCAAGTTCCTCCACAAATTCTCTAGAAAGAGGAAGTAGTGTTGCTGAAAAGATCAAGAAGACATTGGCTCTACTTGAGCAATATGGTTCTAAGAACTCTACCACAAGGGAGAACTGTGATTCAACTTGTGAATCATCTCCACGTATATCGCGTAATGTGAGTCCACTGAAAATTAACTTACACGACAATCCATGTTACTCTCTTGCATCTCCGATGATCATGCAAACGATGGTGACTGCTGCTTCCTCTTATGAGGAACAACTCACAAATCTGACGAAGTTGGTTGAAGGATTGACGAAGCATGTACAACACCAAGAATCTCGAATTGACAAGTTGATGGACAGGATAGAAGGACTTTTAGATGGAGATGCGAGCCATGCACCTGGAAAGGGCATTGAAGTTCAAGA